TCGTGGTTAGACAGTTTGTAATCTCCCAAGAAAAAATATGCGTTACAATTTTTTTGGAAGGAAATTGGTTCTACCTCGGGGGTTTTTCTAACAAGTCGTACACTAAAGTAAATTGAACTTTTGAAACATATAAATTATCTTAATTTTAGAAAAATTCTAATTTTAATAAAATCCTTTCGATTTTCTTCTTTGTAATATTTTGAAAAATTATGCTTGTATTTTTTGAGCATATTTAGTAATACTAAAAAAATAAATTTTTGCACTTGGTAAACAAAGCTTTGTTCTATTGTTTAATGATGATTTCTAGCCTTTTTTATGAAATCCATGTTTATGTATCCATGTTTAAGTACAATTGAAATGGTTAATTTTTATTTTTACAAATTTTAGATAATTAACATCTTAAATTAATTATCAGTTTCATATTTTATTTTTTTTAAATACGTAACTTCTAATACTATTATTTAATTTATTTTTTTCATCTTACTCGATATAATACACTTTTTATTTTATTACTTTTAAATCATTTACGAGCGTTTGTTCTCAAATTTTCATAGTTTTGGTTGCATGACACAAGTTTACATGACAATGTTAAATTAAAAAATCAACAACTAAATTGAAACATTTTTCTAATTTTTTATTTAAAGAAATAGTATATTATAATACTAGTTTATAAGCAAGCCTTTAAAACACGCACGACGAGTGTTATACGCTATTTTTTATTATACCTGCCCATTTACGATCTCTTATGAGCATTGAAAAAATGTGAATTTACACAATAAAATTATCAAAAGTTGTTTGTGAATTGTTTTCGTAGAGACGGTTACTAGTTTACGTTTTTAAGCACATTTTTTCACGTTATAATTGGTCCAGACATTTCACTATTTCTTGTTACCTAGACAACTTTAAAATTTCAGCGTGCTATAAAGGCCAAATTACGCACGCTGCAGCGTGTTTTAATTTAGGAATATGATGCAGGTATAATAAAAAATTATGAATGTACCTATAAAAAAACGTGATTTGTGATCCTTTTCTAAAACTTTTGTTACGCACTCGTTTCAGAAACCCATTACTCACACATAATGAACAACTTTTCATTACTATTGTCTACAGAGAGAAAATATTGTAACCAGATGTTTTTTTATTAATTTTATCTTGTTTTTTGTTAAAACAATTATTGGAGTGATTTATAAACACTAATAACTTTAAAATCTATTGAATTACTGAAATTCTAAAACTTCAGATTGTTTGTGCGAAAATTTTCAAGCTTCTTCTAGAAGTTCCAATAATGCCAAGAACTTCATTTTAAGAATTTCGTGTAAGGAGTCAACTTCATGTAATAACGGTTCTAATTCTCAAAATCATCCAATTACCGCAGTTCCTTCGTCGCACTGTTTGTCTTTGAAAGTTCCTCTTTTGGCTCTCATCCAAAATTAAATAGTTGCGACAAAACCATACCTCAATCATAGTCTGCCTGTTTCGAACTTGTTAAACTCACACACAGGATAACACGTGCCCGTGTAATCCTGTTTGGCAAATTTCAACTTTGTTCAACACAGGAGACAAATATTCGAACGAAACTTGATGCACTGAAACAAATTTTCCTACGAACTTTGTATTAAAAAGCGTCTCGTTACGTAAGTCTTCGTTAGAATCGATGGAAGAATTAGCATACTTCTGTGGCTATGTATGTATAGCCCCCTTCTGAATTATTTATGATTACGACCGCAAACTGACGATACACATTTTTATTCGGAGGGAATTAGAAACTTTTTGAGGCCTGTATGCGCCTATCTGATCCTTGGGCTCCTGCTTTTGAAATATTATACGCACTCTGTATTTATTTTCGTCCTCATTTGTCTGCCTTCAACAATGTCTTTATTTTTCTTCCGATATTTTATTTCCTGCACCTATTGTTACACACATATTTGCGAGGCTTTGTTTCAGAATATGAATTTTCTACTCTTCCTTTCGCATAATTCACCACGATTGTTATTCAACTTTTTCTGAAGTTTGTAAACGTCCAAAATCAGTTTGTTTTTGTGTTGAATGTAACAATTTTGTTTTTATAGATTTTGGAAGCGCGAACGTTTCAGCACAAACTTTTTTAGTTGACTATTTTATCAAAAAAAAGCAACACCGCAACATTCCCTCAAGAGCAAGGGTGAATTTTTCCCTGAGTTGACATGTGATGTCGAGGCACCCTCCAGCTCTGAATTAACTTGAAGCTGTCTAGCAGCAGCGCATGTTTACCTCGAACCAATAAGTCGCTTCTTTTATTTTTCACCTAATCGTCGTATTATGAGCTACTCTATTGTTTCCGACTGGAAATGCTTCTTATTGACCACATAAAACGTGACTTTAAAGCAAAAAGTTCGACATCCTAAACATTCGATCAAATTTAACAACGAAGCTTCGGAAGTTTCTGCCTGAAAAGTGCGGTGTGCCATTTACAACTCCTGTCAATGTCTGTTACGCTTGATAAATATTTTCACTCTTTGAGGTAAATAACAATAGCGATAACAATCGTAATTTCTGATTGTTAGTAAAAACATCAACGTCAACTGACGAGTTTAGAGCCCGACGAGCACGTCGAGGAGTGCCAT